ACAATTTCAAAGAGTCAAGGGATGTTTTTCACTTTGCAGGTTACCATAATCGAGACTGTAGTCATTGCAAATGCATCTTTGCTTATTGACGCTGTTGATACAGGGAAATACCTATTCTAATTGCTGGAGAGCACTCATAAAGCCCGAAATGGGCAATAAGAGAAAGTACATTAAGTAATCGTTGTGTGCTACATGTTCAAGATAGCAGCAGATGAAAGCAAAAGATGTTAGCAGCGGCTGCATGCCATGTCGTGCTATAAAGTGCTGCAGTTACTGTACCTTATTGGCCCTTGAGGAAGCATCGTAGAAATAATAAAGAAGATCTGTCGCTTTGCATGTTATTGCCAATTTGAGTTGGGGTAATGCAGAATGATGGAGCAATGAACATGTCCTTGATACAGTATAGTACAGTATGTGATCAAGGAATTTCTTGCTGTACACAGTAAAACTATGTCTAGCCTAGTTGCAGTAATGCGTTTACATATATGTTGGATGGATGTATCCTTAGCATCGGTATCAGTTTGAAACATAGATCAATACTATGCCTGTATGGATGGAATGATGATGACAAGAGTGAATCATACGAGTGGAGATTGAAAATGAACATGCTGCAAGAATCATCATGACGATGAAGACTGCAACAAACAATGCAGTAAAGTATCATCTTGGCTATCATCAACGTTTGATCACCAGCTTTACTCGAATTGTATTGTTTTGTACAGAGCATGTACTGTAATCAAAAGTACTTGTAGACCATTCTCAGTCAAATAGTCATGGGAAATGATTGAAATCGAGTTATCGAATTGTAGGTTAATGACACCCGCTACGAAGATCGCAAGAGAAACATTTCCACAAATGCTGCGACATGATTGATGCACGGCAAGACCATGGCCAAACATGACATGCCGGTATTGACGATGAGGTATTGATGGACTGCAGTTTATTTTGAAATTTTGAAAATGACCGTCCATGCCGAAGGCTAAATGAAAACACATTGCAAGGGTTATCCTTGATGCAAGTTTAAAATCAAAATTGGTCAGCAGTTTTAGCCTGTCCTAATCCAAGTTATCATCTCAATCGATCGACTTGATTTCAATTTGTAGGAACTAGAGTCATGTGTTGAATAGGCAACAGACTAAAAGTATTTACAATATATAATCTTTCCAGCGCCTGCTCGTATGGGATGGCGTCGATACTCGTTATATATACAGTATATATAAAACTCGAACGTCGATCGAGGAATGAAGAGAGAAGGGGGAAAAAAGAACCATAAAATAAATAAAATAAGTCATTTTGTTTTACGGAGCATTGATGATGTATAAAATGAGTATTCTAGCAGTGAAGGATCATGGAATAATTCATTCACGTTTGCAGATGGAATATGGAGCAGAAGAGAAGACGAAACTTGCAACAAAATGCAAGTGTACAACAGTCAACTGTGATCGAATATACGATTAGAATTGATTTATCCATGGTGATACCTCCATATTACTTACTTCTTCACTTAAATTGGAGTTATTTGCAGCATCAGGTGTAGTAGAACCACCGCTCTCGGGGTAGAGCTGCTCCGCCGTCTTTCCCGACGAAGCCATCTTGCTGTCTCCTAGCTATTGTTGCAAATGTACAATGATAGCAAGAGCGCTGGCATACATACAGTATGCAGTACTGTAGTACAGTACAGCTGCTTTTAGACTGTACACTGTACGTCCGTCGTACTGCATAGCGCTTGACGCGTTCCATTTCGCTGGTTGCAAGGTATTCGGTACTGTACCTTGTACTCAGAAAGGTATCCAGTATTTTTACCGGCACAAGACTCTGGTTTCAGCTGGTTTGCAACTACCTAGTCTGCCTAGGGCTGGACATGTACAGTACACTTGTACAGTACATCCAGTACAGTATCATACTGTACTGGACAGTACTGTACACTGTAAAACAATTTTAGTCATGGGGTAGACTGTCTGGTCTGGCTAAAGTGGCTTTAATAAATAGAAAATCAATAAAATATTCATTCAAACAACCCTTCAGAGCAGCTTAGTTTGGTCAGTAACCTATCTCTCTTATTACAAGCTCCTAGTCTGATCGCCTCCCCATTTTCAAGATCAACACTTGTCTCGCTTTTTTGTTGATTTAGTAGCACAAAAGTGGACAGGCGCAGGTGCTTGCTTTACGGTAAGGTACCGTACGCTCACGGTCCACTGTCTAATGTGTTTCTCTACTGTATGTCTATCTCTATCGCCTACAAGTTTTCATTTACCTCCTTGATCTTCAAACGGGGTTGTTGTTGTTTGTTTATTTTTAAAAGATATACCCATACACTGCCATGGACTACTGGAAATTACTAGTAATTCAGTAATCGACAACACCATAGTAGTGTGCTGTATACTTCAGTGTCAACTTAAATATTATTAAAGTACTGTATACAGTAGCAACAGTACTACTATGGAATGGACCGATCGCCGCCTTGGACAGACGGACTTTCGGACCAAATCAGACCGTAAATATCCAAGAATGGTTACTTAGTATAGATCTTGAAGATCTTCCAATGGCTGCTGTCTAAAATTACTCATATTCATTTACAGTAAATAACTTCGACGATTTTATACAACTCTTTCCAAGTAGAACTTAGTAATGCATAATAGACTGAGCATAGATACATTAGTAAGAAATCATTTGCCTGTGAACTTTCTTTGAATGTCTTTGCTTTACGATATTACTTCATTGACAAAAAAGTACTTCAGTCAAAATCAATCTTCTACATACTAAAGTACTGTCACAACCAAGTGTTTGGCGCAATATTTTGACAAGATGTGGCCGAAAAGATCTGTCCGTCCAAGAGTGATCAGTCCAGACCTTCATCTGTACGAGTGTACGTCTGTATACTGTAGGCAAACAGCAGTACCTGTGCAGAGTGCCATTGGTGCGACCTCCTGAGTTTACCTTGTAGACCACTATGGCGCAATGAAAGAGCACTTCAAAATTCAAGCTATTAGCATGGACTTCTACAAATATACTCCGGTTATATTTCTAAAAGTCCATGATAACAGTATTAAGTGGAAATAACACTTTCCAAGCTACCAGTACAAGTGACTGAGAGTAAGGTTGAGTACCTTGGGTGACTACATCAATCATTTAAAATAGAACAAATGCAGTAACACCAACTTGGATCATCTTTAGCAAATGCACCGGTTTGAAAACGAGACGGCATTCGCCTAGCTAGTGATGGACTACTGTGCAATCCACTACCTCTAAAATGGTAGAAAAGTAAGACAGCATCAAACAAATTAAGTAATGTGTGCTTCTACTTGATTCAGCATGCCACATAGCTCCAAAATAAGAATCTCAAACAGTCCAAAGGCAATGATAGAACATCAAATTACAACTTTGTAAAATGATGCAGAGCCAATGAAAGAGGAATTCAATACCTCTATCTTGAGGTATATATATTTAGGGATTTTATTAGATGGACAGTAAGGAGGGTTTAAAGTTAAGCTTGACTTAACATCAAGTAGAAAGAGAATTCAATGTCAATTTACTGATAGTTATTATAAATTCATTCATGCTATACTCGCGGCAACAAAATCAAATCGTTTCTAGATCATGATTATATCACCTCTCAAATAACTAGTCAGTTTTGATACCATCAGCGCCAGTCAATACTATTTTGTGGTACATAAAAGTCAATAAACAACACCACTTTAAAAATTCAATAATATGATGAGTACTGGACAATTAATTATTTACACCAGCATGCTGGTATGGATGAAAAGACGAAAGTGCGCGGTAATAATTTCACAGGTTATAGACAGTTTTTTTATCCTTCTTTCAAATGCCAGTATAATAAGTATCCTAAAGCAGGACTACTAGAGGTTTTCTTCTAGTAGTCCATACCTAGAGCCATTAAATCCAAATGGATTACCACGATACGCATAGAACGAAAACCTAAAATCAGTACTATTTGAATTGTTAACCTAATATAATAAATTGATCTAATCGTCGACTTTGTAATAGTACTGAAGATGCATATTAGTCAATGCTATCATTTCTTACTAATTACTAGCTAAATAGACGTAGACGCGTATTACAGAAGCAGTATATTGCATTAGATGACAGCTGATATCAATCGCTAGCAAAAATGAAACAGCATCCCTGTATATGATATCGTCCAAGCTATCATCACTTTATTAATTGTTCAAAACGATATAGAACATGAATTCTTATACTAATACTATAAATACACATGACTTTGGCTGTTAAGATAATAATCAGCGGAATAAACCAGGTAGATATTAAATTTTTTATTCAATTCTTAAATCCTAATCATTCGATTGGAGGATATCAACTAATTGAAATAATATTAAAGGGGAGTTTTGAAGAAATGGCTGATAAAAAAAATTTACAATTACTAGCATCAGTTTAGTCTTCAATAGAATTTGGTTTAAGCGTAATTCTTTCATGGTAGAGTACTAACCTATTCTACGCTTTGTGTATAAAGGAATTAATATTATAGACAACAAAGTCAATTTGGCTACCATTAACTACGGGTATGCTTAGGCCAATGCCTTACATAAACATAAATTTAAATTACAGCTTACTATCCTGCACTATTACAGCAGCAGTAGAAACATTCTAATCATATCAATTTTACAACATGTTTCTTAGTGTTCTTAAACTATCCGAAATAATATTTTGTTAAACAGAGTTATCTTCAATTTTTTGCAGCGTAAACGTTCGATTTTTCATATACGTATAGACTGTTTTTATATTTTTCAGTTTATAGCATAGACAAAAAATGGACAATTTAAGGCGAATGATATAGGATAGATTCTTTGATTATTGTATCAAATGGATCTTTGTAATGAAAACGCTAATCGCTTACGTTATTCTCTGATGGTACAAACCGAATCGATCTAATGACGATAATATTTAATTTACCTACAGAATACTCAATCCGTAATGGAAGATTGTTTGACGAGCTAGACTGGCACAAGGTGTTAAGCTTTCTAAGCAGTAAAAGTAACTCTTCTTCGATTACTATGATGACAACTATGATTACATCGAAGACTTTGGCACTTTTTTTTTATAGTCAATTTGAATTCAGGACTGAATAAGGAATACATAAATGGTGCACAGCTGGAGCCAGTAATAAAGAATATTCGGGCTATACTATGAATGCTATAGCGATAGGGACGTATTACGGAGAATACTGACAGCGTAAAGTATAGTTGATCGGGCAAACATAAAGCAACCATCAACCAGGCTGTGATAGCTGTAGCTGCAATCCTCTTAAATAATCTTGTATCAGAGCGATTCATTTCTGGATCTTCGCGAAATTGAAAGATTTGCATCCGCCTAGCTGTATCGCTAGTAAGTAAAATGATCAAAGTAGACGGAAAGTAAAAGCGTATTATTTCCAAGACGGTAAAAAAAACACTTTCTGCTAATACGCTATCGCATATAACATATTTCCATCGGCATGGTGGGTAGGCTGTTTTGACGAAAGCGTCTCCTAAAACAAATTCGATGCATAGAAAGGGCTGTAAAATCCAGATAGTAGTTATAACAATTTGAACTTTAAACTTTTTAACAGACGATTGAAAGATATGGGGTCGAGCCACAGCTAGCCATCTTTTAAAGCTGATTATTGTAACAATCATTAATGAGGTATAGGATAAAATATGTATAAAATATTCTGAGTCGATTAGACGGCAGAAAAAATCACCTAATTCACCCTTTGGGAATTCATAATGTGAAGATGGGATAATATAACCAGGTGTGATTAATAGTAAAACGTCAAGTAGCAGTCCAGCTACTGATAAATTGATCATTAGTAAATTAAATGATTTCCTACTATCATTCTCGTTGTTATTTCGGTCGGTATATTGTTGTTTTGACAAGACGATAGTGACTAGAGAATTTGCAAATAAAATGATCAAGGCTATGATAATATAACATAAGCTGTTAATCCATTGGTGCATCACCGGTAGACGGTCTGTTTGGAGTTCATCTTGAGAGTATGCACATTGGAGGCTCTCGTTAGCCATGATGACTGCAATAATAGTAATTAACAGTCTCACAAGTCTAGCATTTAAATAAGCACATTATGTGAATACTTACAATGATATTTTGCGTTATTTACTGAGATATCCAAACATATTTCATAATCCAATCATTGCCATAGCAATATGCCAACTCTCGTAATTCATAAAATTTTGATTTAAAATAAATTTTTTTCATTTTAATAATATTGGCTAGGAAATCCTTTTGCATTAAGGGACGTTATAGCTAGACTTTCTCTTTAGCTATGTCAATAGAGTAAGAGATAATGCATTAAGGTTGCTATTATTTTGGGCAATAAGAAAGATAGAGGTCAAACTTTATATCTTGCAGGTGGATTATCTGAAGTGTGAAATATTTCTATAATAGCAATATTGGTAGGGGGCATCTTTATGTATCATTGCAATTTTAGACATCTATTCTATGAAATATTCCTTAAGTGATCCTGAAATAATTTTTCTACCACCTGCACTTTTGCAATTCTACAATAGGACACTGTGTAATATCAGCTGCGCTCTAGCACTTAATGTATTCAAAGTAAAATTTAAATTTCATGATTGTACCGACGGATATTTTTCATAAGATTTGCCAATACGTCAATCAGCCATCTTTAGTATAATCCTAGAATTGATACCGGGATTAAATTGTATAACAAATCTCTCATTCAAATCACTTTTGTACATTTTTGTAATTTTAATGAAATTTTTAACCTTGAGAGCTTTATTCTTACTACTACGGCATATACTAACCGAAGACTTGTTAAATACAAGTGCGAGCTACTTTAACCACTTCCTTGTTATTGTACAGTAATTATATAATATTCTTATCAGTATTAGCAAATGTTGACAACATAATATTTTATTGCAGAATAAACATGTAATAGAAATATTCCAATTGGTGTTTATATGATTTGATGTAGAGTTGTGATAGCACGTACGCGTATATGTGAACCGCCAACTTTTGTAAACGAATTCCTGCCGTAGCATAGACCAGCCAGTGAAATTAGTCCATTTTGGCAGTGATAACATGAATATTTTAGTATATTAATATACAGGATACATACTATGTTTGTATTTGTATTAATATTACCGGAATTTTGGAACTTTAATTTACTCACCTTTATTACAGTTTTGTCTAATAATTATATTTTATTCTCATTTGTACATATACAGCTTAATTGCATAGATGTAACATATTGCTAAGTTACAATATTAAATGTACTTTGACAGTGACTGCTGAAAAATAATTTTTTAATCTTCTAGGAATAAGCATCGCAAGGTAGTAAAATCGCTTTATAAACTAACTATAAGCCTTTGACTTGATTGTTTACTGCAAATGATCTTAGTAAGCGTAGAATGAGATGTTCATTATTGATTAGTAATTTTAATATAACTTCATTATAAAATAGGTACTGATAATTGGAATGCTGATTGTTTGTCTAGACTCCAATTAAGGTGGACTATGATTTATAAATTACTTGTATAATTTATTTTCACTATCCCGGTAGTTTTAACTATAGGTGAAGGTATATCATGTCCATGTTACGGTGTTCACTGCTGATACAATGACCAACGTTAGTCTTAATTGTCAAGATTGAGATATGACTCGTTATCTAGTGTAGTTATTTAAATTTAGTAACTTGTACTAAATATGAGTATATAAAAGAAACAGTATTTAAGGCTGTACAAGCTAAGCACGAAGAGGAGAGTTAGCGAAGAATTATTGTTTAGATCTGAACTTGTTACTCGTTGGTAATATATCGCTATGATTTAGCTGCTGTTCAGTTACTCGTTAGTAACCTCTATTTCCCAACTAATAAGTTGAATATAGCCAGATCTAAAGTCTGTTTTATTATTTATTACTATATCCCAACATTTTTGTCTAATAATCATATTTTATTCTCATTTGTACATGTACAGCTCAATTGTATTGGAGTAAGATATTGCTAAGTTACAAACATTAATGTACCTTTGCATAACTGCTGAAATCATTTTTTAATCTTCTCAGAACAAGCGCCCAAGTACAGCTATATATCATACAATAACATTTTAAGAAGTTTAAGAGCGTAGGAAATTTTATTTAAAGGTTTGATCTTCATCCGTGTGAAACGTTAACGCACCTTAAAGAAGGGTTTACTATTTTTAAGAGAAATTTTTTGTTTTGATAATGTATCGTTAATGATATCTCAGTAATGGAAACTTATTTAGATGTTTTAATTGCTTAATAAGTATTGAGAAGTTTTGGGGATATAACTTTTGAATACAGCAGCCTCTGCAGAATTGATTTTCTCGATATATTAGCAGTATATATTATTAGATGTTTGTGCAATGCTTATAAAAAGATAGTCTATATCTTGCATCTTATAATGATGGCACTCTGTATGTCGTTGTTATAGACTATGCAGTAAATTTTATTAGTAAAGCAGCCGGAAAATAGCAGCGAAATGGGTTAATAAGGATAAAATTCTGTATTACAAATGTAATTACAACCAATATATCGGAGCTGATTGAGATTAGAATGATTGCAAATTGTCCTAATAGGAACACCTATATTTCATTAAAATATCTGCATCGGTGTAGCGAGGCATTTCCTCTCAAACTGTACCGCATCAACTTAAAAAAAATAATTTTAGGACTTTAATAGGATTTGATATCGACATTAATAATTAGATATTGGAAATAATTTATATTTACATGTGGTGAATATGGAATATCAAATATTAATTCCATTCCACTCGTTTATGCAGTAAAATTGTTCATACATTGGAATAAGTCTATATTTTGGACAGTACTAGATAAATAGCTTATATCACTGCCCAAATCCAAGCAGTCGCTAATTAAGATCTACTGTACAGTAGTACAATTATCATAGTTTATACAATTCTCAACTCAAAGCCTTGTTGTATTCTACCATACCCTAAATTCTTCACTCAATATCAAAGCAAACTTCGTTTTATACATGTACGATTATGAGAACGTGTCTGTGGACTATCCTCACTACTGAATTATTTATAACAAAATGTGAGCATATGAGTAGTTAATGCCTAATTTGAGAATCTAGTTTCACACGCTTTAGCTACTGTTTATTTGATAGTACAGCTTGTATTGTAGGACACTATCATGGATAATTACCTTAACATTTGATCGGTATGCCTATAATTATCGTTTTTAATGCAGTGTATAAGAAAAACTTAAACTATGGACGGGCACCCCACCAACAGGTTCTTATATTAGTACAAAATACGGCGTACTGTATACAGCATATTTCGTCGCAGTATATCCAGCTTATTCGGCTCGTAATATACTACTACTACCATAGGTAAGGAGAAAACTTTTGCACTAAGGCTCTCGTGCCCTGGATGTGGATCTATAGGCTATTTCTATAGCATTCGTCTACGCTGGCTCTATGTCAGTAATCACATATGGAGTGATGTACAGTAGAACAGCATTTTATTACAGGAAGAGTGTGACTGAAAGTTCACAGTAGGGCACAAAATAAGAGCGTATAACAATCAAATAAAAAGTGAAGAGATTTATTTAAAGAGAAATGGGCCGGAGAACTCAGTAATAAGACAGCAAGTAAGCCGAGTAAGAAGGAAAGTTATTATGAGAGTGGAGGGGTAAGGGCGAGGCTTTTGGCTGTCGCTATGGAGACCAAAATTTGAATTCTAACCTGATAGTGCGTTGTTAAAATTTTTTATTGATTTCTTTCGTTTACTTGGTCAAGACAGCCAAAGCGCTTATCGATTCGTAGTGTGCTTACTATACAGCCTTAGAAGCGATCATCTTACTAGGATACTAATGTAATAAGTTACTGAGAAGTAGCTTAATACCGTTCTTGTAGTCAACAAGACACTATATTGCTGGAAGGCTTTCGACATCCGTCTTTTCAAGACTAAATGATAGTACTTTAACGAATAGATTACCACTGATTTTTATATAGTTATAATGGAACATGCACGAAATTATTATCTTAAATTATGCGACCAATACGACTGCGATCCTATACCTGAAGTGATGCAACATTTCGATACGGGTATGACCAGAATACTTTGATACTATAATTGCCAACGATAAATTAATGAATTAGTTAGATAAGTGTTGACTAAAATTAAGACCAATTATCGTTACTTTTACTTAATTATTACAGAAACTCACAAGTTAGAACTGGAAGGTTGCAATATAACACTAAGATCATGTGTAGCATTAGCAGAATTTTTACGGAAAGATAATTGGTTTCGAGTTATAAATTTAAGTGACTGTATGCTAGGTGATGAAGGTAAGATGTATACACGTACATAGTAGATCAATTTATAGTCTATCTCATCAAACAAATCTGTTAATTAACGGTAGGGAAACATTTCCCTTACCAGATCAATTAATGCTGATCGTAGAGAAGATATTAAGTAGTGAATTTGACTCTAATAACTTGTTCTGTACTACTCAGGATGTAGCATCATTGCGCCTGCTTTGGGTCAGAATGCAGTAATAACTGATATCAATCTGAAGGGAAATAACATTAAAGGAATCGGGGCAGAAATGATTGGATTAATGCTGAAAGATACACAAACTCTGCTAAGGTATAAATATAAAATAGCATTTATTAACTGAAGAGCTTGATGTGACTTGTCAATTATACATTTAAGTTCTAAATTATCCCTCAAGGAAGAGTTATTTTCTGCAAATCTATACCAGCCAAAAAGATTACTTTTGGCAAAACCATTATGAAAGGGATCGAGTAATATAATTTTTTCCTTGTTTTCTAGGCTAAAGTTAGACTGGAATTCAATAACTTCCACCAAAAGTGGATTTTCAAATTTAGTTGAGGGTTTATCTGTTAATAAGACACTCCAACATTTGGACATTACCAATTGTCAGATAGGCCAAAGCGAAGCTAAAGAATTAGCTCTGGTCTTAGGGAATAATAAATGCTTGCAAACTCTAGGTAATTTCAACCTTTGATTCCAATGTACTGCACAAAGGATATTGATGAAATTGAACTGATTATAGTCGGAATGCAGACATATAAATTTTATTCCTTCATTCTAAGACTTTTTATATCACTATGTACTGTAGATATACGCTGGAATCATATTGGCTTAATTGGCAGCAGGGCATTATTAACTGCTCTGCAAACGAACAAAGTTATACATAATATAAAAATTGATGGCAATAATATCCCCACTGATATTATGCAGGCTATCGGTTAGATTAACTTTATTCACAGTAGCATTATATGATATTTCTAAATATGAATATTATATTACAGCTTCTTCTGTGCACAAAAATGAAGAGTGTAAAATCGTTTCCGAAGAGTACCAAAAGCGTTTAGGAGTTTTAAATAAAGGACTTGAGAAATTACATTACAATCGTGATTTACAGGTAGGCATCTCATTTCTGTGATTTTGCTCTTGTAATCATAACGCAATATCCTATTATAGGTTGTAGATAGGTTCATAAAAATATTTTACTTGGAATTGCTTCTCGCTATACTAAAATTTTAAACTTTTTACTTACTAACAGATTCACGATTTACTGGATAGAATTGATAAACAGGAAGCTCTTTTCGATCAACTGCAACAGTTAGTATCGGATAGAATTACTTTTCAATTAAAAATTCAACTTTTCGATATAGACAGCGGCAACACATCATAGATAGAAAAAATATACGGTTACTGGTAGTTATGCTTACTATTCATGATTAATTTTTTGTTGAAAAAATTTAACTGCGCTTTATACTAGCTAAGTTTATCCTTGTTCTGAATTTTGACAATTAGGACATTTAATAAGAAAATGGACGGTACTCTAAATGAGTTGAACAACAAGTCTATCACTATCAAAACCCTGGAAGCGAAGTAATTCAATGAATAAATTACTGCATTCCTTTTATTGCATAGCACTATACTCAGGATTGATGAAGGATTAACAACCACTGCGCCCATTGTAGCAATTTTGAATGGAGTGCAACCTGAAATTCTTCTCGCTAATTTTTCTTTATGATCATTCAACTGGTACATCAGATTTGTCGATACTAATTTTAAAAACGAATATTTGATTTAATCTCTAGGCTGGTAGTGGCAAATACAGCCCTTTCCCTTGCTAATCAGAAATCCTTCGATTTTGGCAATTTAGTAACCCGATTAAAGGATGATTTATCCAATGCCATGAATCAACATGGCCAAGAACTAGCACTGGAGAGAAAGAAAAGGGAAGAAATGGAATTTAGAAAGCAAGAAGAAATTGATACTCTAAAAGAGCAGCTGCAATCGTTACTGAATAAAGTAGGGGATACAAATATAGATTGATATTCTATTGCTTGAAAGTTTCAACATTTATAGGTGGAAAGATTTCATTTATAGTAATCGGCAAATGTATTATTCAACATTTAGTGTACTGATGTTGAGAGAGTAAGTGATAAAAAGGAGTTGACTATAGAAGAACTAAAACAAGAAATTCAAATATTAAAGCAAGAGAGCGAAGAAAAAGTAAATGATGTGCAAGATCGATTAGATAGGACTAAGAGACATTGTCAGAAACGGATTAAAGAGATGCAAGATAGTTTCACTGACGAAGTATGTTGATAGTGGTTGCGGTTTTAGATTTACAATCTATCGCTCGTGTAAAATAAACCTTTAAATATACGACGAAAATACTGGATCTTTAGGTAATTAATATTTGTTTTTAACCGTTCAACATTATCAGAATGAAATCACGCACAAGGATTTTAATAAACGAGAAAAGCTGCTGCTTGAACGTATTGAAAAATTAGAGGAAGAAAGAAACGAATCTGAACAGGTTTTACTATATTTATTTTTGACGATCACGCTATATTGTATTCGTCCTCGGTTTTTAAGTAATAAATCAATTTAATTACCTTGTAATAAGCACATTTTTCTCTAGATAAATCAGCTAATACTACAGATTAATGAGATAGATTGCACATTTTTGCCATTTTAATTTGGTAATATAGAGCCTTGTCAACACTAAGAAATTAATTACTACGCTAAAGATGAAATCCGAAGAAGAAATTAACGAAATCAGATTAAGCCTGCATAAGGAAGAGGTTAGATTGCATAACTAGAAATTATAACTGTCATTTACACTTTCATTATTTTACGATAATTTAAAAGATGCTCGGATATGCAGTAGTTTAATTTGAAAATGGACTTAATTTAATAGCAAGAAAAGATGAGACAAATTGGAGAAAGAATTGATATTTTAACACGATCTAAGAATGAGTTAACGGTAAGAATAAAATAAGTAGATTGCTTTATATGAATGTAACATTATCAATGCAGATTTTTGAATAATCTCAAGAGTATCTTATTAATTTTAGTTAATGTTAGAAAGTATTAGAAATAGATTAAGAATATATGGTTCGAATTATATCGAAAGGAGAAGTTATTAGAGATAGTTGAATAGAATGTATTTTTCCAAGATATTTAAGATACATGATACAATAAGAAGTAAATCTCTTATGAAATTCATCTCCAAAGTAGTGGCTTGAATTGAGATAGAAATCGATTTAGTAAGGCTGGCTTCTTATTTATATCAAATACTATAGGACTACGCACAGCAACAGAAAAAATTAATTGACGATTTTAAGAAGGAAGGAGAGCAAGCAAGTAATGAAATTGATTCTTTGAAGAAGAAAATAAGGTCCTTGGAAATGGTATTGAGAAATTTAAACCTATTTTTACCGCTTTGCTAGAGTGTTCTATTGTATAGCAGTCTCGGTTGAATTACATTCTATAAGCGTACATGATAGTCCATTAAAGTAGGTATGAATGCTGGTCTATCGTTCGACTGAAATAACAGCTATTCTATACTTTTTCCATTATTTATAAATGCGCTGAAATGAATTAACTTACTGATTGAGCGACATTAATCTAACTATATGTTAGTCTTGAGTTAGTAGGCGTACAACTAGAAAAGATAGTAGCCGAATATACTCTCTACCCTAGCTAAAATAGAATAAAAAATATTGAAAGCTAGCACTGATCATCAACACCGTATTCCATTAGTTTGAACTAAGATATTAAAAAATATTTCTTATTCATAATCGTAACCTACAAGTAAAGGTAGTGAAGGTGGTCATTAAACCCAAAAAAGTGAATGTAAAAAATTCTTGTATAGCATTTATAAACGATACGGTATTAAATAATTAGATAAATATGAATATTAACGCTTTTGTTGATGCTGTATCCGGCTGATAGGAAAAGGAAGAAAACGAATTATCGACACGATCTTTATTTAAGAAAGTAAACCAGGATAATGAGCAACTTCGAGAAGAAATGCGTCAGAAAGGCAAACTAGAAGACGAATTAAAGCAAAAAATTTATACTTTAAATCAAAATGCTCAAGGTTAAATTTTACAAATACTTTTAGGCATCTGATATAAATTAGATACGCTGTAATTTTGTAACTATAGTTGATTTTAAAGCTACAGTACAGTTTATAGGAGTTAGTCGCTTAACTTATAATCCAATTACTCAGAAATTAGTTACATCTAGCAAGATTTTGCAGTTGTACTAATTTAATAGAATTATACTTTAATTAAAGGTTTGATGTTTAATGGGATTTGCAAGAAACCCACAGCGAAACAATAAATAGTTTATCCTTCACTTTCTCATAACTTTAGTAATTTCTAATTTATTTTGATCGACGATTTTTACTTATAGCTACAAGCGATATATCGCTAAAATTTAAATGAAAATTTTATATGTGCTTACTTCAATAGTAAAGGTGCAATTTTAATTTCTGCGATATATCTTTAGATAATACGCTACGATATCAATCAGAGATCGGTAAAAAGGATAATGAATTACGAGCCCTCAAGAATCTATTGAAAGATCGTGATATTGAGTTAGAAAAGGCAAGATCGGAAGTAAAACGGACTTCGGGACTAGAATCGGCACTTAAAAACTACTTTACAGCTCCTGCGACCTAAAACTACTGCTAGCAGAGAAGAAATTGTATAGAATTACGAAAGAAATTTATAATTTTGTAGTTAATATGAATTTTATGCAACTGTAAAGTTCGTAGTAACTGATATTTAGAGAGCAGGTCTTTTCATAGATATTCTATTTCATTAAGGTCATCTAGGTATTTTGCATAATTTATAATTTAAATACTTGATCATGGCTTGCCACAATATTTTAAGCAGAATTTCATGTATTCTATATGAGGCTAATCGCGTTCGTTGCCGGCTTTTCGGGTCTCATTACTTACAATTATAAATAGCTATAAATAGTTTCGTTTAATTTATGAAACTATTACTTTTTATTTAAAAATGGACTACCTATTCTAGGCAACATCTTAATAACCTTACTCCTATAGCAGAATGAAGGATTAAGCACGAGGTTGTAAGCAATATTGTACATATTAATCCCAACGTGATTGTATTATAACCTAGTAAATAGTTTCGTCGAACCAGAATTAGTCATGACCCGATCGTGATGCAACTCCCAAGCGTGCAATAAAGAAAAAAACAAAGAAATAACACCTAAATTGAATCCAATTTGCTTAAAACATAATTAAAAAATAATAAAAAATGATAATACATAGAAATGCATCAGATAAATAAAAAAAATATGTAGCTATATTTGTGGTTAGGTATGTAACGAGGTGAACTATATAAAGTCCTGGTTTCATATGTTACCCATTGAACAAACTCAAACTACGCTAGATACTATATAACAAAAAATGTACAAGTGAATAGTGATAATAATTAAATATAAATTATTTACAATCCAAATAAAGTGCAAATTTATGAAAGAATCATTTTTGTGATTGATTGGAAATTTATAACGTCGTGCTAGCATTGGCAAGATAGTCTTGTAAAAGTTCCCTTTGCTTGCTGTACCTGCCGTAATAATAGCAAAAAACATTATTGAATAATTCTTTCCTGCTTATTAGATATTACTATTCCAACTTACTTTTCCTTTATTTTCAGTTTTTCTTTTTCTTCTTCGATTTTGTACATTTCAATAATATTGGATAGTTCCGTTAAGGAGAAATTGATATATTGTGCAGCCTGTAGATTGTATCCAGAGTTTTTTTAGTACAAGACTATATCATCATACATAGATAAAAACAACACTTTAAATAACAATAAAACGAACTTCTGGTGATAAAACAATCGCTTGCTGTTGCGGATTTACAGCTGGTTTGGGGTCATTGACTTCGCACACAAAAATCCGAAAAGTTTCCTGATTTTGAAAGGCAAATTTTGTATTAAGTAGTCATCGAACATTATTTTCTAAGTAATAGCAACTATAAGACTAGTAATTACTTCATTAGGACCCAGCATTAGTCTGGCTAGCAATGGACATTCTACGTCACTCAATCGTCGACAGTCTAAATGAGAACGTATCAATTTAAAAATTAAAAGATTCCTCGCATGATGAATAAAAATGAAGGCATTAAGTTTGGATATCTTATGCAAGTAACTTTACCTCCTGTTTTCGGTCGTTTTATGAATAATGCAAATTCTTTCGGGTTATTGATAATCTATTTTATTAGAAATGATATCAAAATCAATTACCCACCGGTGCTGCCATAATTATCATACGAGTATACTATGAAATTTGATTCTAGCAACTATTTCACGCTTACACGAAATTTATGAAACAAATTTTTGATCACGAATGGTGTCGTTGTTCGACTAGTAGCATTTACTGCGGCAGCAGAGTCGAACTGAGGAGTAAACGTTGATTCCTGTACGGATTAGAAGGTGATAGGTAATGATTATTAAAAGTTACGATATTATATCGTATCATAAAATACGCAGTATCGTGATTATAGTTTGTATTGGTGTGGCTAGAATTGTAATTATGCAATAGTCAAGTAATGCACGCACGGCGTTGTAGTACTATTACTCATGCAAGCTGTTAACTAACCAAATCTTCATCCATAAGTGATATAGGTCTAAATCAATAAGAAATTTAAATATTTATATATTCGATCGGATTAAGTAATGCGTCAAGTTGTTTTAATCTTACCGAGATACAGCATCGCTGACTTGGTTCTTAGCCAACTTTCTAGTGGGTAATGGAGATTGAGAGCTGCTGCCTATCATCGATTATATTATATTTAATTATAAAAATTATCAAAACCTCTTTACGCGAATTTCGCAATTATTAGGGGTAATATGGTAAAATGAAGGGTAGACGGGCGCTTGTTACTGTTATTTTGCAAGTTTTAGTGTCCGAGAATTCAAAACTTGCATCTTTTTGTAATAAAAAGTTCTAAAAATCGCAATCTAGCTTACCATATAGTGATTGAGTAGATGAAAGGGCTTGTTTGATAGGTCTCTTTAATCCCCAATGGACGCGGAGATTACCACTAATTAAGATTCCATTGGCGTCCTGAATGTGAAAGAGATCCAAAGCTTTCGTTTTGTTTTTATACCGTAAATTAATAATTTTTGGAGATCGTTATGACTGTACATATTTTTACGAGAGTTAGATACCGTAGAGGTTTCTCATACCTTTCAAAACAGAAAACTATATCAATAATTTGCTTAACAATATTAAAGTTCTACAATAGGCCAATGCTGTGTGCATAGACTTTCATTCGACAGTTTTGAATAGGGCATTTTTCTACATTTAGTTCAGCTTAAAGGCTATAGAATATACCAGTAAATGTTTCATATAGTGTCAACTTACCTGGATGTACGTCAATTTATAATGTGGAGAACCTTTTTCGTGGTATTTATTATACAGAGAAAGTCGAGCTAAAATTTCCTGCCTATAAAAAAGAAGGACATACTTAATGTTGATGCATACTCGTTTCATTTTTCATACTTTATAACTGCTAATGTTCAAGGACCAGCTAGAAACCGCTACGAAATCATCATTTAAGAGCAATACTGTACAAGGTGAAAAGTACTGTTTATTATCGTTAAAGTACCGATAACAATAGCAGAATTGTCTGAATGAAGCTAAAGCAAATTGCTTGTCATTCTATGTATCGATGTTTATTTAAGTAACGGATCTTCACAGGAGGGTAGGGTGAGAAATTGTTGATGAAAACATAAATGAAATTATTACATCCTGTATCTGTAGTAATAGTACTGAAAGAGCTCAACAATCCCCAAATTGGATAAAATATACTTCCTAGATTAATCATTTTGATGGGAAACATCAGTAAAAAATGGCCGATCAAAATAAAATAAAATGTAGATCATGTGAGGAGATTACAGAATTAGTGCGGTACAAGACAAGCAAGAATTCAAATATCGACGCCATCGGAGATGCACACATCTATCCATCTTATTGGGAAAAGATAATAACTATTTTCATAGCCCAATTACTATTCATTAAATGAAAAGAAACTTGTTCTACATGCTGATATAATGGTGTGAGATAAAAAACTGATATGTAGCTGGTTATTGTTATAATATAGTAGATAATTTTAAATGGTGAATGAAAATGGATCAATGATAACAAATGGATTAATAGATAACATCAAGCGCAATATCATAGATCATTATTGGCAACATTAGTACACAGATGATAGGATTCCATTCAATTATAGCTTAATTCTTAGCTATAGTACTAGAAATTCAGGAGTTTAATTACTGTATGCTAGGAGTTAAGAGTTCATGGATGTTTCTAAAGTGGTAGAAAATAGTAAATTGATCAACAGGCATAGTATGTTTTCCACGGAGGGACTCCTTGTTATTAGGTTAGAAGGAACGTCAGTTAAAGGATAAGACATACTAAGCACCTTTTTTAAGATACTCGTATGACATTGAAAACGAAAAGTCATTAGTCTTGTATTATCAATAGGCTTGAATAGAGTGGGCGATAGAATTGAACGTAAGCTTGTTTAAAATACGATATAGTAAAATAAAATTTATCCTATTATGATAACGGACACGATCAGTTGTTAAACCAATAATAAGAGTTAAAATTATTCACTCAGGGATAAATTGAATGAAGCCTTATCCCTGGATTATCGAGTTTAGCGAATAGCAATCAACAAAATCATACAATTAGAGTTTAATGTATACTCTTCAAATTAAGGTGAAGATAATAACGCTACGGCATGTAGAATAATCAATCGACCCGTACAACTGCAACAGTGGCGGAACGAGAAATGATTGCAGCGGCATCGGTTAAACTCTCATTACAGTATGCTACATGTATATCGAATTGCACGATTGCTGTAAAGTGGACATTGTTTGTTAATAGTAAAAATGATTTAAAATGTTATTGTAAAAGCTAAAAGGGATCAAAAAATTTCATTGTAAACGCGGTCGATTAAATATGTCGTACTTAACAGAGACAACATTAAACGTAGCTATTAGCTATCATCCATTCCGTTGTATATGTATATATATAATTGTATTTGAGTAGGATTTATCCATAAACTAGAGGTGTTTGTGAATACAATGGGCAGGAAGAAATTGAATATGGCTAATTGGTGAAGGATTCAAGTTGACATCCGCTTACTTTGTTGGAGTTCTCTTGCCCTTAGCTTTATTTACAGCTCTATTGGCTTGATTTGTCGATGTTTCAGGTTGAGAACCGGTAAGACTATTCTCCGAAATCCTATAATTATTCTGATCCAACGAAATCACCTTAACTAATCTCACTTGCTGTCTCGACATGATCAGAATCTCATCCGTAGCTGCAATACTATGATCGCACTGATTGTAATTGCAATTATTCTTTTCTACCACAAGCCAATCCTGATGAATGAAAGTGGATTATAGCCAAGAAATGATCAAATAATCGTCTTGAACTGTTGAATAAGTAGAAGCAAGATGAAAAGGAAAGGCAATTTCCACCTTGTATATCTCCAATTTCTATTCTGGCCAGCAACGCCTTTTGCCAGACGTGAAAGTCCGCGATAGGCCTCCGGTGTGATAGCACAATGTGTTTAGCAATGACATGATTGAAACACTTACTAGCGATAATGTAGATCTACCCGTTCCGAGACGTGACCATCGAGACCGCTTCCGGGTGGTTCCTGTTAACCCTACTAGTCTTTGACAGTCCCATTTATGATGATAGTGAACTAGGTATTATGAACTCTTATTTGTGTAGGACCCCTACCTTGACCAATCCTTCACCCATCGCGCAGCCTCACTGCTACTTTTCTATCACGTTGATCTAGGCTAGTATCGAAAACGATCGTACCAATCGATCGCATACTATTGACTCTATTCTGTACACTGTATACGGTAGTAACCCTGTTGCTGTCCATGGCTCTGCAATTCCGAATTACCTTGGTTGGAGAAGAAGCAATCGGCAAAGAATCGATTTATTTATACTACTGTCCATTAGTTGAGGAGTGATTATGCCATAGACTACTGCACACTACACGGTGCATCGAATAGGCCATGGACTACGGCATATTACAGTACACATTTCATCGAATAATCCATGATTATACAGTCAGTAGTCAGGCTGAGATCATGTTGGCTGGAGGCTGCATGCAAGCTGGAGCAAATTGCTCAGAAATGGCAGTAGCAGGATAGATTTCATTCCTGATCCTGAAACCCTTAAGGGTCTCTAGATTTCATCCGTTGCAATGTAGTCATCGCGATAGCTTAATAGGATAATTGCATCAATGAGGACACATGCACAGCTACCTGTAGTAACGAACTGTGGTCATTAGGTAGTAACGACAGCACTGTATCTTGGAGGAGGCTTTCTTGGGGCTACAATCGAGCTTACCTGCTTCTCTTTAGCCCTTTGCCGATGGCAATGACCTGATATAAATCATCATGAATCCAGGATCCACTGATATCAATTCCTTTTAAGCAGCATGACTAACATGGATCATCGAACTTTCTACGATCTTTTATAACTGCTCTTTTGCTCGCATATTGCATACCAATCATGATCTGGATGTTTGATAGAGTAGCGTCGTATATTGCAGAATTGTGGTTAGAATTGTTAAAGTACGCGTACATTGCTAATCTTTGAGCATCAGATTGGGTAGTATGCAAGTGAATGGGACTATCAAACTAGTACTACAAGAGCTCCACTACCTATCTCTATTAAGGATCAAGCTTATAGGCTAAGTGGGAAGTTCTGAAATGCTAGTGCACGGCGCCTTCATCCATATAGGCATAATCTTGCGTTCACTAGTATCAAAACTAAACGTTCTATTAATAAGGTTCTAGAATTGAACTCTACAGAAACTCTAATCGATACAGGCGTAAGCCTATAACAGCTATAAAGTTCAATTGTCACACGAAATAATGCTTCATTTGGCATGCTATTAGTACATGCATTACTTTATCCTGATGGTATAAATACCTCTATCGTGGATGTTACAGTTATCGAAAAGGATTTATGTAGATTTAATTACAATCTATGATTTATTTAAACACGAACACATATAGTACACACACACTACAATACCAATTAAGGAATAAATGCTATGTAACCTAATATACAGCAATGGATTTTATAGAAACTCTCAACGATACAGGTGTATGCATATATTAACTACAAAGTTTAATTGTCATGCGAAATTAGGCTACATTTTAGATGCTACTAGTGCAAACTTCCGTCGCTTTGCTGACGGTTTACGATAATGTGCTCATTTAACAGATAGTATATTACCATTGGTCGTAGACCTGTCAATAGCAATTATTTATTATTTGCAGTTAGGATATCGTAGCAAAATAGGCTAGATTCGTGAGTGATTATTAGATTAGAATAAAATGATTCTTATACATAGTTTTGTAGAATTATATTATTACTTGCTATAGTTCTTATGATCATAGTTTGAACGAAATGAATGCTCTATGGATCATTCTATAAATTATACCAGTAAAACAATTTAAAATATTATTAAAATGGAATAAATTTCTTTTCTGAAATTTTGAGTACAATTATAAAATGACAGCCGAAGTTAGTTTACAATCGAGTTGATGTTCAATGATTATATTATAATTACGATTTTTTACTTCGAGTACTAGTAACGGTTGTACTTGAACTGTCGTATATCTGCTTGATAAAATTGGAATTTTGTGAACGCGTAAACAACATTAGAGTTGATCGCCGTCGTTGTTGATGGACATCAATTATACTAGGATGAGGCTGTATGGTTTGTTTACGAAAGATAGTCAATGACATTGTATAGATAATAGGATTAACTGCAGAATTTAGTGGCAAAACAAAGACAGCTACCCAAGCGAAGATAGTCTTATCGATTGGAATATTAGCTAAAGTCAAATAAGTCATGATAATAATCGGAATCCAACAACATAAATCAGTGCCAACAATTAGAACCATATTTCGTGTTACGACGCGGTCTTGCTTATTAGTATGCTTATTGCTAAAGACTTTCTTATTTTGATGTAGTTTAATAAAAATAGCAATATAAGCACCCAAGATATAGAGGCAACCTACCATATTTGTAAAAGTAATCATGACGATAGAGTACAGCCATGATCGATCAGAGTCATTAACTTGACCGGTTGCAATATGCAACGGCAAGCATACACTAGATTTGGAATAGAAATATCTAAAAAATTGTATGTCAAAGAGTGGAATCGCAAATATGATAGCAATTAAAATCCAGCCGCATGCTGCTATTATTTTGGCCAATCTTAATGTTATTTTTGACTTTGAATGAGGGTAAACTATACAAATAAGACGGTCTGTAGTGATACAAGCCAAGATATAGACCGAAACTTCACTAGACAAGGTAGCCAAAAATCCAGCTATCTGACATGTTATGCTTCGTATCCAATTTCGTTCGTTTTCGCTGTAATTATCACGAAAGTAAGCATCAGCTGATGCGATTATAATTAAATAAACTCCCATTAAGAAATCGGCAATTGCTAGTTGCCCAACAAGAAATGAATTGACGGTATTAATGTTTCTTTTAAGTCTCCATAAAGCAACATATGTGTTTCCAATTAGTGCTATGATACCTACAATCCATATCGCAACTCGCAATATGGGATGAGCAAGTAGATCAGCGCAGCTTGAAAAAGCATCTAGCTCAGGAAGACATCGTTTTGCCGTTTTAGCTAAGCAACAAACGCGGACACTGCTGGATTCACTATATAGAGAATGAAAAAAACAGTCGTTAACATGCAGTATTATATCATTCCATACGCACAAAGCAAAATGAACTTAAAATTTTTTTCGCATTCAATATCAATAATATCATGGTTGAAAATAATTCAATAAGGGAAAACTTACAGTAAGTTCAAATGTAAACCATCAAAGGCATCTTGAGAAATGTTACGCAATGGGTTACTTTTCAAATACCTTAATAATATTGCGAAGTACAATCGATGTTAATCGGTGAAGTTCCACTATTACGTAATATTTTAACACTGACTTAAGCTATCATTTCAAACATAAACATTTGCTCGCCATAAATACAAACTAAAGAATTCTGGCAATACGATTGACAATAAATAAAATTTGTGCTCTCCAATAAATGCAGCAAAATTTGACGATAAAAACATAATTTTTTTACTTACAAATAGCGCAAGGATTGTCTTACTCCGTCAAATGAATCCGATGTTAAGGCATTGATTTTATTACATGCCAAATTCCTAAAATATCAAGAAAAGATTAGGCTTAATAGCTGGATTGGCTCGGCATTTGGTGCTACGTCCTAACGGGTAATATTAATTTTGCTCAGATTTCACGCTCTGTTGTTCTTTAGAAGTAAAGCACAATAATTAACGAAGTAAAAATTCCTTCTTACAGAGAATATAGGTTGGAAAGACCAGCAAAACAGCTACTTGGAATACCATCAATTTTATTGCCAGATAAACTCCTACATTTAAGATAGTAACCAAAACTGTAATACGTAAATGATCCTGAGATAGCAAATAGTATGGAAAAAAGAGCGAAACTACTAACAGTATTTGTAAGCTTTCCGCGGAAGTAATATCCAGGCAACTAATTGTTGATATTTGATTGTCATCCAAACGCCTGAAATTCATAATTTCGTATTATATGAATATTTCCTTTATTTGAATGGTGATGAAAAAGTTCTATTATTAGTTATATCCAACTTACATGATACGTAAGTTAGTCAGGCCATTTGAAACTCCAACCATCGATGTCAAATTTTGTTTTTGCAAATTTCTTTATTTTAATAATAAAGGCTAAACTTAAAACATAGACTAACATATAAAGTATGCGGTAACCAGTCAACTTAGAGGATACTGTTGCTGAATCTATTACATTTATTGTACATATACCAACTCTAACTTGCAGCTCTAAGAATTAAGGTGTGAAGATACGCATTAAGCATACAATACTTACAGATTCATCAAGTTATTTGCTGTACTAAACGCTTCGCCATCAAATATTGATATCACGTTGTCATCTAACAGCCTAAGTATAAGTGTATATCAAATTAGTATAAAGAACAAGACATTGCTTATACGTAAATTAATTGACACGGTTTAATGGCTACGGGCATTGTATTCTAGGAAAGAGTTATTGTGTTACTGAAAACGTATTTAAGTTAGAAATAGAAATCATACAATGTTTGAAGATTTTGCAAAGCTGTTAAGGGTGGACCATTCACGCTAATAATTTGGTTATAGCGTAAATTACTATCATAAAATGAAAAATGGCTGTTAACATTTTGAAAACGGGTAATAGTTCTAGTTATTGAACACCGTACCAAGCAGCTCAAACTTACAGCGAATAAAGATTTTGAAGGCTAGAAAAAACTATTGTATCGATATATCTCAGATGGTTGAAACTTAAGTCCCTAAATATATCAAAGATTATTCAATAAGTAACCGGTTGATACGCTCTAAAATTGGTAAAAGCGATATTATAGCTAATGCCCTACTATAATAAATATCGATCATATTAGTACATAATTGTGAAATACTGTTATATCGACCACAATCGTAAAAATTTAATTTAAACATCATTCCGACTACAATATCAATTATTTGATATTTTTATAGATATGGACTTACAAGTGTCCAAGGATATTCATATTTTTAAAATTGGATACGGAGAGTTGAGTGATATTATTATGGCTTAAATCTCTGTTTGCAGGATATAAATTTTTATAATATATTTTGTAGTAACAGTCATAAGTAGTAGCAGTATCATCAATATAAGAGATTACATTTCTTGAACAAGATATAGCTTACAGCTTAGTAATTGATCTGGGCTCATTAATTTGAGGAATACCAACGAAGCCAAGGTAGCTACATTTTACAATAGTACTGCGGCAAGTACAGTGTTTTGGACATTGGATTGTAACTAATCGAAATTTACAAATGTTGTAATCAGATCATAAATTGTTAGTTTATCGCATTGTCATACTTAGTACATACCACAGTGTATTTCATCAGAACCATCATGACATTCTTTTATGTTATTGCATACTAGATTCCATGGTATTCTTGATCCATTTCTGCACTTGAAAAATTCTGCATCTGCAATAATAAAAATAATATATTTTATATGCCCTAGATGGGATGAAGGCAGTATCTGAAAGAGTAAACTATGTTATTTTCGTGATAAACTGACCGCATAATTTATCATGACTTCTATCGAGGCACGTATAATTTGATGTGCAAATAGTTTCCACTGGAACACATTCGCCACTAAGGCAACGAAATTCTGAATTGAAACAGGACGAATTCCCTTGATTTTATTTTTAGACATAAAAGAAGAATTTCCAATAATTAGCTGTCAACACTAATTAAGTAAAATATGTTAAATTGATATAAAAATTCAAGACTAACCACATAGTAATTCATCAGAACCGTCTAAACAGTTTTCGTAGCCATTGCACCTTTTATTTAAAGGGATGCATGCACCATTTTGGCAAGTAAACTGATTATCGGAGCATGGTCGATATTCTAAACAGATTGATAGATAAATTAAGTACACATATAGATACTAATTTATAGGTTGCATTCTAGTTTCTAATCTCAAAAAGGATACTTATTTCTAAAAAAGATGTAGTGCTAGTAAATACCATAGTAAGCATATAAATTTCTAAACAATTATTGGCATATAAAAAGAGTAATTACTATATTATAATCGTCATTTTGACAAGTGTAGCCCATAATGAGGTATTCTTACTTCATATTTAGTTTTAACATACCATCACTTTCAATAAAAAAGGCGGAAAAGCCGCTTGTCTCTCCTAGTCGATTAATATTTCTCGATCGAAACTGTAACAATATTGAGTTAGAACTTGATCGAATAACTGGTGGTAATTTTTGACCACAGAGTTTATGAAGTACTGGTGACGTTCGATCAGATCCATCGCGAATTACTAAAAACTCGGTTTGGCATTTAGCAGATTTATGCACGTAAAATCGAGTAAATTTTAAAGTAACGGTATTGCCTAGTGGAACAGTAATACCATAAAAACATTCGACATTGCTTGGATATGTATTAGGATAGTTGAATGACTGGATAACACCTTGCGATCCATTAAAAAATTCATTACAGCGAAATTTATCAATTATATCTAAATCAGCAAACGCAAAAGGAATCATATGTAAGATGTAATTAATTTGAAGCATTTATGTAGTAAAATAACCAATGTTTAGCACAAAAATCAAATAAATTAACATATACGATAGATATGTGATCTTATAACTGTCTGCAAAGATAGATTATAGTAACTTATTTTAAAATTAGTTTGTATACTATTGGATGGTTGCAGTAGAACTTAAAAGATACATAACAAGAATACTGGTAAAGAATAGAAGCAGAAAATGAATAAGGATTTAGGTAGCGGTCGTATAAGTTGATAACAGTTAAAGTCATAAATTAAATGTGTAATTCCGCCTTCGATTGCAACCAAAGCACCGTTATCAAATTGTACGAGAAAAAAATCTGTAAATTGAGATACTGGATATTACTATGAAATTTTTCGTGTTGTATTTATTGAAATGATAGGATTCATAGTTGATAGCCGTAGCTATTGATATAAGATAAGGTAATCAAGTACGGTAGACTGTTATTGAGTTATCACTATACAATCGAATGACAACGACTGCAAGGTCTGTTTTAAAAAAGCTAATTAGGCTGCATCAATGAAAAATTTAATAAAATATTAGATAACTAGGCAATATTACGATTAAACTTACCGCAATCGGTCTCATCTGAATTGTCTAAGCAATCCACTTTCCCATCACAGAACTTCAATTGATCGATGCAGTAGCCATCATTGCAGTAAATTGGATATTTCGGACACGAGGTAGTAGCTGCAATGAATGATACAAATAACAACATTCCAATTTTAATATCAGACTGCAGCTAAGCTAAAATTTGTAGACAACGTAAATTATCTGTATTTATTATCGAAGTATTTTGATAATGGCAAATAAAATTTACTAAATCATTTACGTTACTATTTTTCTAACCTGGGATACTTTTATAGGTTGCGTTAAACCCTAGATACTTTTTGAATGTTGCAAATCTATACATAATCATTATTGATGGACCGCTCGATGTTAATGTAGCTCCAGAGGAGTCCTGATGAAATTCATCCAATGTTTTTGAGTGTTTTTTTATACCATCTTTGACTACGATACTACCGGTAGATATATTTATATTATTAAACGTGAGTGAAATCTTTGAATAGCCACTAGTTGTGATCTCATAATGGATGCTTCCGCAAATAAAGAAACCCTGATTGAATCCTGGCGAAATTAGTAAACCTGATGGAGACGTTGGCTTAACCAACACCCTATCTATAAATATTCAGAAGTTAAATATAGCAAGGTCATTAACAAATTAAATAAGAAGAAATTGATTAAGTTTTAAAAGTAAGACATGTGGGAAGGATTTTGCTAATTAAATTTTTGAGAATTTTGAATTAACGGCACTATCAAGATGGGATGATCTCAAATAGGCGCGTTATAGATCAATAACGCTCACCAATGAGACGCTCAACTAAAACGCATATATGACAATTGTAGCATAATATTTGGACCAATAATTACTACGAGTTCATTATATACAGCACTTTTATAGCTTATGTGATAGATTAACAAAAAATATGCTTTTCTCTTTTCTATTGTGTTGTAAGTAGCTAAAATCTTTAGTTTCAACTGATAGAATTTGATTATCATAATTAGTAGATTTGTTTTCGTACCGTAAGCATACCATTAAACTGTAAAGAGAAAGAACCTATTGTTTCAGGCAATGTACAGTGTTTTATGAAAACATTAAAAGCTCAAATCCAAGATTACTACGATTGTTGAGACAGATACAAGATCTCCAAAAAACACTCGCTAATTTTAGAATTATGATTGCAGTAAAAGGATGACGGTATATTACTTACACTGCGAACGTCATGCTAATGATATTACGTCAATTAGTAAGTCACAATAGTGCATTTACAATTTTATTTCTTGCGTTACCTTTTACTTTTATATATTTAATACTAAATAGGAATGGCACGGTTTTATTAAACGATCTAAAGGTTATCTTTATAGGTTGTCCATAAACATGTATAGGAGATATCGCTGAATTTTCACATAACTTAATAAATTCTTTCGGTCTAGATAATAATGAAATGATGATGTATCCATTATTGCAAGTTCGAGCACCATAAGGCAATTTACCAAAGCTTCCAAGTTTCAATTCATTAAATTCTAATTTTAATAACTCCTGTTCCTGGACATTAATTGTATATTGGCAATAGATAATGCCCTGATAATAAAATGGGTAATTTGGACTTGCCAAATTACCAGCTTCTAATACGTCCCATTTGGGACAATCTGGTAGAGCTATAACATACAATATTAATGAAAAAGCTGTTAATAGTTTTTAATAGTAAGCGATTTTTTACAGTACAAACATATCTATTAGGTAGCTATAGAGGGTAATAACTTAAAACATGGAATCAGAGCATCGATTGGATATACGGTAAGAATTTCTTAGATATAAGATTGTCCTAACCAACATTTCAAATATAACTGTAATAAATATAATATCATACGGCTTATCTTTCCGAGGGCCGTATCTACAGAAAACTATGGAATCCAATTATTTCATGCAATATGACAGCAACGAAATATTAGCATTTTTCCTAGCTGTTGGCTATTGAAATAAACAGTCAGTTCACTTCCTAGAAGCTACCTTTTAGCTGTGTTGAAAGTAGCCAGCAGTACTTTACTTCAGCAACTACTGTAGATTATGATGTTATTCATTCCTACCTTTGTCTGGGTAATACATGGCTAGAAATCCGAAATAATTGATGAACATATCAGAAAAAAACGATATCTGGGCTGAATTAGACGGAATTTGTTCCATAAAATTGGTCTTATTTCCGCATTCCTTATATGTACGTCGCATATGGGAAACTTCTATATGATCATAGCTGCAGATTGCAGACGGTTCCATAGATATGTATTCAAAATCTAGATAGAATCCTCGTACTTGCAAATTAATTCCATATGTACAATCCATATTGGAAGGATAACGGTTTGGATATGCTGGTGAAGTTATTACCCCAGTTTCACCGGTAAAGTTCTTATTGCACTGTTCGGCACCTAGATGATAACAATATAAGAGCCAAAACGGTTTAGCTACAACGTTGGCCATGATTACACACTATTCTGGTATATTTATTATACTCTTAACTGAATTCGATATTGATTTAATAATATCAGCTAATGATTTAAACTAGATCTCAAGTTACCTTGACTGAAGGATAATTTAAAGCCTTTCCCAGTGTACAGTAAATCAGTAGAAAAGTTAATGACCATAATATGATAATCAATAACAGCTTCTTTTCTTGGTAGATCTTCTAGTTTACCGAAAAAACTGATTAAACTTTCTGTTGAATTTTTTTTATAGACCGTGAGGTAATCTTTAGAATGCTTATAAGCAACTTTTCTCGGTAAATCTAGCTCATCCAAGCGAATTTCAACCGTGTAGCCTGGATTTACTATAATGGTATAGGTACAATCGAGATTATTCCAATAATTGGAAGGATAATTTGGAGATTCAATTGTTCCTTTTACGGCTTCAAAGGTTTTAGAGCAATTTTTTGCTTCTAGATAATAATAGAACCATAAGATAATTTTAACCTGATTTAATTCTCTAAATCTACGTAAATTACTAGATCTTCTATGAAACAATCAACAGATATTAAGAATATTCAATGATGCGAATCATATCTAGATTTTGGGTAAACAGTTACCCTAACAAAAATTGTTTGTCAAGGATGCTATAGTGAGGTTACGCCATAGTACATTAAAGAATCATACAATGTAAAGATATTACTGATCAGGTAAGGTACATTTCATTTTTTCTCCAAGTCTAATTAACGAATGAGACGTGCGAGTTTTACAACAGAATTAGTACTAGACCATTGTCATCACGGCTGCTGAGGGTAATATTAATGCCTTATTACTTATAAAGCAAAATTCTACTTTACAGCATGCGGTAAAATGCCCGGAACGGCTATCACCTTTAAAATTGACGTCTTAAATCAGGTAATAGCATTACTTAATGTTACACTTTTAATCGACAGTTTAAAAACTGACTCTAGTTTACGAAAGGAACTTACGACAATATAATTCATCAGTCCAGTCGTCGCAGTCATAAATGTTGTTGCACATAGCATCTCGAGGAATACATTTACCGCTAAGGCTGCATTGGTATTCGTTAGCATTACAAGTCGCCTTGTTTAGAACATCGATAGCACTAAACTTTGCTTTCAATTTCAAATAAGCAGCGCGAGGTTTGGAAATAAATTCAATATGGAGGAAATTACCCGTTGTGAGGAATGGCTTTGGTATGCGCAACGTGCGAAACGTAAAACTATCTGTTAGATTGTTGATATTGCCATAGAATTTAAATGTCGTGATGCTAAGATTACTGTAGGGAATATATTCATCAAACTGGAGCAAGATTTTCTTTCCTGAGTTTACTCGGATGATATAGTGCCAACTTGAATTAGGTACACTCAGGTCGGACGTTTCAATGATACCATGATCTTGTTCGAAGATTTGAACATTCTTGTAACGGTTGTACACTTTGCCAAGATATAAAATAAGAGAGGGCTCAGTATGTAAGTTAGAGTCTAATATACGGTAGCAAAACTTTTGAACTTTCTTTACTGGAAAGGCTAACTTGAAATTATTTCTGTTTAATGCCTTACCGGAAATTCATAACATTTTTCTAACATTTAATCATAGTACTGTACGACATATCTGTCATCTTAATTAATTTAATGTAGAAAATCTATTACGGTCTGCCTTGCAACTTACAACAATTACAACTGGAATTGTGATTATAACGGCAATAAAAGGGATTTTGGCATTTTTGATGGAAATTGATGCATTTACCCATGAAGCAAGTAAAATTACCGTCGAGGCAATTTGCCAAATCTAGTCATATTTGATAATCAGTTTGAAAATAAGTGAAATAATTTAAATAAGTTTCATAAATGTGTTTTCTTAATTTAATTAAATGATTGGAACTCAATTTACTGCAAAATTGTTCATCAGAGTTATCATCACAGTCTTTGATACGGTCACAAACACTTGTCACGTTTATTATCTGGCCACTAAGACAAGCTACTGTGTTGATTGAAGTTACGGAGGAACAGTCTATGAAATGTTAAAATGATTATATTCATAATTAGCTGCAATATTTCTAGAATATATATGTTGTGTTCTATACAAGTATAGTACAGCGTAATTTTATGAACCTATAACAAATGCGAATATCATTTTTCTAATCTGGTATACAAGAAAAATAGTTGGTTGATAGGATGATTAATTATCAATATCATATCCTAACTCCATTTTTCGTCGATACACTCACTTACTTTCTGGATTTTGGTCATGCTCTTTAATAATGGCATGAAATCCAGGTCTTGCAAAAGTATAATCTGATCTAAAAGCTAGGATCAATGTATCGTGAGTTGATCGCATATTAGGAACAGGATAAATGTCGCAAAATGTTCCAATTAAATGATCTTGATCTTCTATGTCTCCATCGTATATGCTGACATAGTCATAGGTACAACCATACACGCTAGATATGGATTCCAAGCGGAACGAAGTAAAATTTAACGTTACATATTTTGCCTTTGCTGAGGCTTTAATCGTGTAGATGCAAAATTCTCCTATTGGATAATTATCTGGGTAATTTGGTGAGGTAATTATGCCATTTCCCATAATTTCTTTTTTGCAAGGAACTAGCGAAAAAAAAAGAATTAGTAATTAAATTAGCTTCAATTTTCAGTTTATGTAAGGAAACTAATATTCTTGATATCTTAAGAAAGATTTATAAAACGAATTAATACATAGTATGATAACCTAGCTCTGAATTTTGTTTCAGTGTAATATTTTGTGTAGTATGTGTTCCCGTTCAATTGAACGGGTAATGGACTAGTCTCAATAATAAAATAAAGGTTAATCCTGCATTTTAGTAGGATTAACATTGTAAAAATTCATTACTATTAAAGCTACTGTAACGCCATATTGCTGTTTATGAACTATCATATCATTTTAAATTCTGTAGTTGTGAATACTTTCTCAAGATGCTATATTACAATATCATATAATTCTTTATATGTTTTACATGTTTTCGCGATTCTTTTATTTACAATTTAGCTTTATTTTGCTGCTAATCTTATCTAGACCGAAAATATTTTAATCTTGTCAAAGATTTTCTGTATAATTTGTTCGTTTTTTGGATCGCCATTTCAGGTTATGATTTTCTGTATCATTTATCAAAGTATTATAATCTATGAGTAAACGGCTCAACTAATGTATCCAAAGAAATTAGCAATCTTGAAATTAATCGATTGAAATTATGTTCTTAATGGCTTGTAGTAAATAAGCTTATTCAAACTACGTTTCCAAATAAATTAATTCATTATAGGTGATGACTACGAACGTAAAGATACTAACCTTGCGTTGTATAGATCAATTTAAAACCACCTCCAGAATTAAGATAGTCCGATTTGAATCGTAAACGAACTCTGTTAAGTAATGGAAACTTGAAAATTTTTCTTTTAGATTGAGAAGTTATATTTGTATTCACTTTATAAGTTTGGTAATCGCCATTTTCCTCAGCAATTAATATCTGGATGACATCATCAATTTCGCGTAGATCATAAAATGTAAAATTGAGAGTGGTCTGGTATCGTGCATTATCAATTAAAATGGTGTAATTGCATAAAGAGTGAATCGGATATGGCGATGGATAATTTGGAGACGTAATTATACCAGATAGTGAGGTGAAGATGTGATTACAAGATTGATCTAAAAGAAATTATAAATTGATAGCATAAATTAATATTATACAAATTGTGGCGTTGAAAGAGTTACACAAGTTGTATTATTAATTTCTCTAATTTCTAGGAAACAGAAACTGATGAATTTTTATGTAGATCACTGACCGCAGCCGAATTCATCTGACCAATCTGGACAGTCAAGAATGCCATCACACTTAGCTGTGGACGAAACGCAAACTCCACTATTGCATAGAAATTTACCATCTGGACAACTGCGTACTATAAGGTTCAAATATGCATCAGCATAAATTACGTACAGTAGCAAAGGTAAGCTTTTAATATGAACACGAAATATGTATCTGATTTCATCAAATCAAAAATTGCAATATTACTTCCGAATGCTTTGCAACACATCTTAATAATCTTCATTCATACGAATTAGCTTTCAGTCTTACCTGGATTTGTTATTAAAGAGTAAGTTGCACGAAATCCTGTGCTAGTAATAGTACTTTCAGTCGAAAATACAACTGTAGTAGTTCCTTGTAAAATTAATGGTTTAATAATTTCATATCCGCAGAAATCTAATCTACGCTCTCCCATATGATCGAAAACATGTAGGTGTGTGCTATCGCAGCTAGTTAGTTGCACGACTCCGAATGCAATAATAACATTAGTGGTACTTTCGGTTGCGATAGTGTACGTACACTTGGAGAAGGCAGGATATGGATAAGGGTAATTTGGTGTTGCAAAGTATCCTTTTCGTTGAGTTAAGTATCGATTGCAACTCTCCGGGTGTACTAGAAATTAATTGTATTAATAAGCAGTACAGACTTAAAAAGTAGTCTAATGTATATGAATACAATAATTTATCTTGACGTCAGCCTATTAAATCATAGCAGCAGAAAGTATAACTACATTAGTATTCGTTCTGTCAACCCCAAGGGTCAATAAAGCTTCTACCTAAGATGTAAGCAATTTACTGAAGCAATTAAAATAAGATCTACGGGTAAATGAATTTAACGGTAATAAAACAAACTTTAAATCATTAGTGCATTGAAGAAAATATTCGCACTAATATTTTATGCTTTAGAAATTGCTCATTTTTTTAACCATTTAAATGACGTAAAATACTTAAATTTTTGAACTTACTGCAATTCTGTTGTCTTCGAGAGTCCCAACAGTCATGTTTATTCATGCAATGCTTTACGATATCTACACACTGGCCCATGATACAAGTAAAATTACCAAGTAAACATTCTGGATAGTCTAGAAATGCAATGGCGCGAAGTATCAGTAACAAGGTTAGATTCATATTTTAAAACGTCAACTATATAATCTAGGCGTTGATCGCTAACAGTTGTAGCCGTAGTACATAAATTTGTTAACTAATGGTGTAAATAATAAATAGCTTCAAAGTTCTTAAGATCGGCCTTAATACACATTAATAGTACGCGTAACTGATAAATCAATTTGCGGATTTATGCAATTAACTTAAATACCCATTCCAAAGTAATCAGCCGAATAAGTTCATCATTGTAGCTTATCAGTAGTGTACATAGATTGTTTTTTATTATGCTTGCTACGAATCGTAACCTATTTCAAAGCAAAAATAACATTACCACATCTGCTTTCATCTGTTTTATCGTGGCAATCTTCAAATCCATCACATACAGTAGCTTGATTTATACACTGTCCGTTTCCGCATTCGATTTCGGTGCTATTATTACATTGCCTGTAGACTTATTTATGGCGACAACGATAATAAGTTTGATATTACAATCTTATGAGTATTTCACGATAAAATCATACACTTATTATATTCTTAAGATATATCCTTCTGAATGTATTACCCAAACTTTCAGAGGTCATGTAATATTCAAGAATACGTACGGTATTGCCAGTGCTATTAGAAATTGTACTATGAATACACTATCTATGTGGTCAAGAATCTAGATCATTTTCATGTTTGATGCAATATTAAAAACCTTTTTGCAATTTTTAGGGGAATATGTACACAAATGTATTTATAGATATACATATTGGATCATAAACGAAAAGTATACGTATGCTATATTAATGATCTGATATTAGTTACAGGAACGTACATGGATTAATTACATAGACACATTATAGTGTAAATGCGATAGTACTAAATTTAAAAGTAGCTCTAAAAATTTCCAGAAGCAGAGCCATTTAAACCCATCTCGCTTTACAATCCCTTATAGTTGTAAATCATAGCCTTCTGCTAACTACTTACCACACATTTCTTCATCTGAACCATCAAGGCAATCTGGCTTATGATCGCACCGGACATAAAAAGGAACACGCTTCAAATTATTGCATTGAAAATAGTCTTCAGGACATATGAATTTCTCAGCACCTACGTAAATGAAAAATATCGCCTCGTTAACAGATACAAATGTAGCTAGAATGATGAATAATTACTATTTGAGATATCTTTTAGTGGAAGCAATTCAATTTACTATATAAAATTGTAAATAGTATTATAAGTCACGATCAACAAAGACTTTGATTTCTTTAAAATTTTAAGGAAATGCAAAACACTGTATATAAAGAGTTGTAATTTTTAATAATTTAAAGAGCTGTAATTTTTAATAATTTAATTTACTCTAATAGCAGTAAAGATTCTTGAACGTTACAAAGTCAGTGATTGCAAGTTCGTATTAACAAAGCACGAGATCTCGCATAAGCTGCTATTATTTAATTGTGCTCATTTTTAACTTTAGGTAAGGAATATCACTCACGTTTCTGAACTTCTGTGTCTTCAATGGATGTAAAGCATGGTTTGACTGCACCAGCTTCACGTACATTCACGGTTTCTTTGGGATTTTCAGAAATAGCAGCTAAATAGGCGACATAATTGAACAGTAATTAACTGCTGCATCGCAAAATAAGCTGTATTCTTGGCATGACGTTACAAGAAAAGTTTAGCATAAAATATAAGAGTGAGTCTAGATATTATTGAAAGTATTAGTGACGGTACTGTAGATAATAAATATCACTGGGTACTGAGAGTTAAAAGCGAGTCAACAGATGGATTGGACGAAAAAGATTTATCTATACACAGAAAAATGCAAAGTAACAATTTCATACCGTATGGTAGTAGATGTTATAATTTGAATCGAACACATCCATGGCTACTATATTTTATTTCAACTGAGTGATTTACTGCTTTAGTAGCTTTGTAGTAACAGTCGAAAGTAGCAGCAAAAGGAACGCAATACGAATTCGAATCATATACTGGGGTCTATCAAAGTTCTTACAGCCAAGAAGCCGATAATACTATTGCATCAATTACTTTTAAGTAATGTAGCAGTAAAAATCGTATAAATCCTACTAGTAGGTAGAAATGTAGCAGTGATCAACGCAGTCGGCAAGTTTTACTTTATTGACATTTATAAATTGAACGGAATATTAAGGTTTATTCATGTTTATATCAAAAATGGGATAAAATATGATAGAATATAGAATACAGACAATAATTGAAGGTACCATAACTTAAAAACGATGGTGTTAAACAATCAATAGAATCTTTCTATTAAATATTCGTTAAATCTCAATTTAAACTTACATTGTGCTATAGACAGGATAACAAGGCATGATACATAGCAATGACACCAGTTTTTTGGCCAAATTTGAGGTATATCGGACCATGACATGATGTTGGTTACTGCTCTAGTAGTTCAATATTTTGGCTCGTAGAGATGTCTGGACAAATTTACAACCTGATAATCCAATACTATATAAGAATAATATAATCAATATTGAATTACACGGCTTATGTAGCGGCATAATTTGTGATACTTTCTATAGAAAATGCATGCACCCTAAGGTGCTTTCTAGAATCAAGAGTAGATTTATGAAATATGATTAATTCTATGTCTGATATGCAATAATTGCAAAAGCCTTACTTGGTGAGTTATCCAATTAGTATAAAAATAAATAAAATACTGCCTTCAGATGGAAAACGATCGTTTAAATACTGTTAGAAGAGTTATAATATATACTGTAATTGGCTCGCGTTGATTAGGATTCTAGTTTCAATAAATGATTATTCCCTTCGGTAGGATATAGTTCAAAAATAATCTTTAAATTTACGGTGGTATATCGTCCACGTAATTTCACCTATTTATCTGTCCTTACGTCAAATTTAACGTTTCATTTTCATTAACTGCCTAAATGAATACGAAAGTAATAAATCCAGACGTATAGAATTAATAAGGATAAAGATGCAGCGAGCTATTCGTTCTTTATTAAATAAATAAATAAACAGAACTATAAGAAAGAAATATTGTACTCTTGTAAGTTAACCATTAAAATGTATCGCATATATATTAAAACGATAACTGGATGTTGCTTCCTTTTGTTGATAAAATTAGTAGTATATGTAACATTCATGGCATAGAAGTCGAAAGATTGTGTAATTATTAATGAATAATGACTATTTATTGTTAGGTAAGACATTAATTTATCGTCTACACACTAGTCATCATGTCGTTTATTTACTGGGGTGGCCCGCCCTTTAATCCGCCCCTAAGATCCAACGCAATGAGATTTATAAACAATATTTTAGAGCCTACAATGTGTTTGTTTTGGCTTTACAATAATAAAAGTTGGATTGTGTTAGAAATTTATTTCGAAGGACTAGCTAGGAATACTATAAACGTTTGATCACATACATGATGCTATTAGTCCTTATGTATTCTTGGTATTGTTACGGTGTTAAAGGCTACCATTTAGTATAAATATGTTGTAAAGATCGCTATGCAGTTGATATCTTGTCATTAGGTTATATGTAGATTGTGAAACTTATCCATTTTCCAGTAATGGCGAAAGAATTAGTTAGATACCTAATTTATAAGAGAGCTCAAAGGTCAAATCGTTTTCTGGTCATGACTGCCTCGTGTTATACGCGTGTTCTAATTTATTTTAAAATAAAGCATAAAGTGAAACAAATTTTGATCTAAGCATATACGCCAGCTACGCCATTTTTTAGTATTAATTTCCATGTACACATATGTATATATATACTCTGTAGATGCTCGCGAATATAGATAACAAGTATAATAGCAAGTTACGTTTACAATAAAGAGAGTTCGCTATTTTATCATTTCTGATGTGAAATTTAGGGGAAAGTGCATAGTTTTCACGGGAAATTAATGTTGATAAATAGTTCGGGATAGCAGAAGACTCAGAAATATTTCCGATTTATTTTTTTTCACGAGAAGAATATATGTATATTGGTGACAGGTATCTATGGTAATATGTCAATGATATAATGAGAAATTTAATGAAACATTGAGTTTTATTATTACATTAGTGTTCGAACTCGATGAAACTAAATGTTATTTCCAATTATAAAATCATACTTAAGGTACTTACCATTGATTTAAAATAAAGTACTGTCAATAGCTCTAAGCTAATTATAGTATTCAATTCTGAGAAGATAATATTTAACGATATGATAATTCCGCGTATACGGATATCTGACTTTTAAAGACACACAGGCCGATTTTGATTCCTACTAGCGAACCAACGATTCAGTAGCGTTATGATAGCGATGCTACTGGTAAATATCAAGATCACATAGCAGTCTTATACCTGTTGGTAAGTGAGATTATAATTACAAACTTTAAAACTGTAATTAGCGTATGAAAGATTTAATTTAATATGATTAGGTCAATACCGAAATCGAATAATACCGATATAATTGAGAAGAGAAATATATTGTCCCGTTTACCTGCAATTTTTAGTCAGGTATATTGAATAATTGTAATTATGACATCAATACATTAATCATCTTGTATATTGCATCACTAAATAATAAATAATGGTATTATATCATTTATAAATCGGCCCAATTGCAACAGTCAATAAAATAGCGGATTTCCTAGTAACTTATTTTATCTTTTACTCAATAAATTAATTATGAAACAGTTAAATACATAAATGGTTTAGCATATGTCAATTATTAAGGTAGTTCGGGGTATACCTACAGAATTTTCAATCTATTATAATTACACAGCATCGTCCGATTAATGTAAGCTAAGGATGACAGCGGGTGATAAAATATAAGTGATTTAGATATTTTTTATTAGTTTGTTACATCATGCTTTTAAAATAATAAATGAAGAAAAGAGAATATATTGAGAGATAGAATAATGATACAATTATGAATACACCATTTTACTTCGTACCCATGCAAATTAATACCAAAGAGAATAATCTGTTCACAAATATTAAAAAAATGGAAATTGATAGTACTGAAAATAATCAAAAACTAGCATTTTTATTGATTACTGCTTAGATCTTCCGTTCAACTTACAGGAAGGCACTGCTTTACAGCAATGTATTCATTTGGATATAGATAAAGTTTAAGAAACTCTCGCGACAGTTGAATCCTATAAAGAGCATCAACTTTAAGTAAAAATCATTGGTGCGATAGGCTGTACAGTGTTCATTGATTAATATTTGTACGCCTACGATATCATTAAACGGAAAGAAATGCTATACAGAAATGATATTCTGATAGTAGAGGTTAGTAATGTAATTTCATAATTTGACTACTTATAAATCGAGCAGTAAAATCTCATGGAAGCTAATGATACAAATACAGAGGGCGTAGGGATCAGGAAAAATAATAAAATTAGCTAATTGACTATAGCACTCGGCTAATCTTTACGTTGATTGTTCAAATTTGTCGAAATCTGAGATGATCAATGGAAAATCATCTGTAGATATCGTTCCAATAAGAACGTATTTAATAGTAAGTGATAAAACATCTGTAGGCTATTTACAGTAATACTTGTGCCATAGCCAAAATAGTTAGATGGTTGCAAGATTAAAATAAGCATGAAAAAGCGTAACAAGGGATTACTTGCAATTATTCATGTTAACTATACAGTGTATTAGACATAGAAGTCAAGAATAAGATACAAGGATTCTAAATAATGCTTACAACTATGCATGAAAACGAGAAAAAAATTAAAATACTTTTAGGTTGGAAACAACTTGATATGTTAAAGAAGCGTATACTATGGAATCATTAATTCTATCCGTTCGACAGGAAAAGTGTTTGCCTTCAAGTAATAATACGCGACTAAGCTATTACTTTAAAGTAAACATTTTTCTCCTGGATTTACATAGGCGACGAAATGCGTTAAACTATCCTTTATCTCCATCGAACTGAAGTCGCAAGTGACATAATGACCTTACATCGCTATAGCCGTACTACCATGCTATAGCAAGATATTACGAAGACTTTAGATATGATATGAGAAACAGTCTGATCATTTTGGATCTCTAGACAAGAAAATGCCAATTTATGTTCGTATAATAATTA